GTTGACATACTAGTAACTTGATATTAGATTATATAATCACAATGATTTGCCACATATCTAAAACAAAGTTCTTAAAGAGTAACACTAACAGCAATACAAATATTTTTCAGATTCCATGGCAGATTGATTCGTCTTAAAATTGTTGTAAACTGAAAATAATAAGGAACGAAGTTACCTGAGAAAATGTAAAAGCCTTTGAGTGGTGAATGATTCTTGGGATGAGTCGCGGACTAAGTCGCTCTCTTTAAGACGTTTCGCGGCTCTGCCCAAAGTGTGCAAGCAGTTCACAAACACCACGTCGTCCCCAGGATAAAACAGCCCATAACCTTTCTTCTGATAAAGTTCTTCCTTGCACACCGAAAGAACCTTCGAACTTACACATTTTCGATATGTTGCTTTTTAAATCAATATATTAAAAAAAATTCTTCATCTACTTTCTGCTTTACCATCGCCTAACTTTTTTTTTTTTTTTTTTTTTTTTTTTTTTTTTTTTTTTTTTTTTTTTTTTTTGGAGAACCTCGGCGGTACGAGGGAATTTTAATGATAAGAAAAAAGAAGTTACACCTAGACAGGGGGGGACATAAACCTAACCCCTCATAGAACAAGAGAAAAGAAATACAAAAGAAAAAGGGGGGGACATGCACCTTACCCCTTTTGAGAAAGGAAATGCCGGAAAAAGAGGGGGGGACATAGACCGTACCCCTCTTGGAAAAGAAAATACAAGGAAAAGACTAGGCGGACATAAGCCCAAACCCCTCTATAAACCTTAAAAGGTAATAACCTGCAAAACAAACTGCAAAACAAAAGGGAATCCAAAAAGGTTAGGAAAAGAAAGGAGAAAACACATCAAGAAGAGGAGACAAACCTGTAGGTTGGCATGCCCAAGAAATCTGAGTGCAGAGGAGGGAGGATCTCAATTGGGGGAGTGGAATGCCAGACAAGTGAAGATGATAGAAGCCCTAAATTGGCTAATTTGTCAGCAACAGCATTCCCTTCTCGAAAAATATGAGAGCAACGAAAAACCATGTTCTGCAAAAGGAGAGTACAATTGTTCCAGCGTGTCTGGAGCGACCAAGGGGGAGAGAAAGATCCAGAAGCAAAACATGATATTACACTCGAAGAGTCGCTTTCAAGCCATAAATTTTGCCAGCCTCGCGCGTGGGCCAATTCGACAGCAAGGATGACAGCATGGAGCTCCGCATAGAAAGAAGTACGATGGCCCAAGCTTAGGGAGAAACCACCAAGAAAATAACCCGCAGAATCTCGAAAAACCCCGCCACATGCCGCAGGACCCGGATTACCTTTAGCAAGGCCATCAGTATTCACTTTGACCCAAGAAGAAGGAGGGGGGTGCCAAAGAACAGGGACAATAGAAGGAGCTTTACAGGGGTTAGGCGATATTCCAAGAGAGACTAAAAGTTGCCGATCCAAAGTGCCTCGTACATGGCCAGGGGTGAGAGCTCCAACCTGCCTAATCCAGGCCGAGGTGGAGTGGCAGAGACGTGAGAATGAGGGAGGTTTGCCTTCAAACTTCACTTTATTACGCATCTTCCAAATAGCCATGAGTAAGAAAAACCCTGAAGCTAGCCAAACATTGCGAAGATGTGGAGAGAACCGCTTTGACAGAAAATCAAGCCATAGATCAGAGAGGGAGCCCATAGGTTGAATAATAGTGCCAAATTGGGTAGCTAGCCAACGCCAAGCACATTGTGCAAAAGTCACAGCTAGAAAATAAGTGGTCAATAGATTCAGAATTCTTGTGACATAGTTGGCATATTGGAGCCAGCGGGATGCCTCGGCGCTGAAGTTGATCCTCCGTTGGGAGCTTGTTGAAAAGAATCTTCCAAACTAAAATAGAGTAACGAGGTGGGATGAAAGGACGCCAGATAATGGAAGCCCAACTCTTGACAGGAAACCGATGACGAACAATTTCATAGCCATCGGAAAAAGAAAAACCACCAGAAGTAGAAGCTTCCCAAATTAAAACGTCCTTATCCTCATCAATTGGAAGAGGCATTTCTAAAATCTCTTTAGTTAGGTCTGGGAAAGTAGAAGAAAAGATAGAAGGAATAACCCATTGTCCCATACGAATAATATTTGAGACCTTAGTACGAGATAGAGAAGGGGCAATCTCTGTTGCACCAACGACATCCACAATAGGCTTATCCAGCCATTTATCAACCCAAAGGGAAGTAGTAGAACCATTTCCAATCACCCAACGACAATTCTGAAACAAGATATGAAGAATGGATTTAATACCAGGCCATATAGAAGATCGCATATAACTACAAGAGTATAGGCGACCATGAAGCTTGAAACGTTTCCGAATATAAATACTCCAAGGGGAATCAGTAGTAATAATAAGCCATCCAAGCTTTAAGAGAGCTGTAGTGTTAAGAGAGCCAAGATCACGCAAACCCAAACCACCTTCATTCTTCGGAGCACATATCTGATGCCAAGAAACGGTAACCAACTTCTTGGAGGTTACGTCACCAGACCATATAAAATTGCGAGCACATCGTGAAAGAGACCTTAGCAAGGAAGAAGGCCACTTATAAACAGAAAAGCTATGCAAGAGCATACTTTGAAAAACTGATTGAGTGAGTTGAACTCTTCCTGCCATAGATAAAAGTTTCCCCTTCCAACCAGTTAACTTAGCTTTAGCTTTATCTGCCAAGGCTTGAAGATGACTCCTTTTAGGCTTGCCACAGAAGATTGGAACTCCAAGGTAGACAAAAGGTGCTTTGCCTTCTTTGAAACCCAAGTAACTCTCAACCACAGCTTTGCGATGCCTTGAGGTAGAGCCCAAGTAGAAAGTACTTTTTGCCTTATTGATAAATTGACCAGAGGCTCTACTATATCTATCGAAGAAACCTTGCAAGTTACGCAGGGTGACACCATCACTTCTACAGAAAATGAATAAGTCATCTGCATAGAGAACGTGAGAAGGAGAGATACAACCTCTTGGAGCAAAAGTTGGCTTAGTAAGCCCATCAAGTTGAAGACGACTCAAGCCCCTTGATAAAGCCTCCTCAGCTAGACAGAAAAGTAACGGAGAGAGAGGATCCCCTTGGCGCACTCCTCGTGAACAAGAGAAAAAACCATGCGGGGAACCATTGATTAGGATGGACAATTTAGCAGATCGTAAGATGGTAGAAATCCAGTCTATAAAACAAGTGGAGAACCCAAAGTTAGTAAGCACCCGCAATAGAAATGACCAATCTAAAGTATCAAAAGCCTTAGCTATATCAACTTTGACTCCCATATTGCCACCACGAGTTTTTTTGTCAAGCACATTGAAACATTCTGAAACTAGGCCAATACAATCAGTGATACGTCGGCCAGGTATGAAAGCAGCTTGATGTGGAGAAATAATGCGTTGAACAACATGAGAAAGGCGAACTGCCAAAATTTTGGGAATAATCTTAAAGAGAAAGTTTGCCAAAGCAATAGGTCTAAAATGAGTCATGGAAATAGCGTCTTCCACCTTCGGTATCAAAACTAAGAAGTTACTATTGGTATTGGGGTATAGCCAATTTGATTGAAAGAATTGCTTCACAAATTGAATGACATCAAAGCTGACAATATCCCAACAGTGATGATAGAAAAAACCTGGAAAACCATCTGGCCCTGGCGCACTGGAAGCACTTAATGAGAAAACTGCCTCCTTAATTTCCTCATCAGTAGGTAATGCAGATAAGAGATCATTTTCAGAGTCTGTGACCATCGGCTGGATGACCTCACAAACCTCATCAATACCTGAAGGGTTGAAAGAAGAGCCGAACACAGTCTGATAGAAATTAACAATATGGTTCTCAATAGCCAGCGGGTCGGTAAGAAGATTATTACCATCAAGAATACAACTGATATGAGAGCTGGATGATTTAATACGAGCATAAGCATGAAAGAAAGAAGAATTTCTATCCCCTTTAGTTAACCACTTAACACGAGCTCTATCTTTCCAAAATGCCTCTTGCATTTGAAGAGACTCCATTACTGTAGTCTTGGCAACAATCTCCTCCTCGAAAAGATCATTATTTATACCCTCAACTGAAATTCTTTGTTGAATCATAGAAAGATTATGCCGAGCATTAGCCACTCTATTATGAACATCACCAAAAACCGAAAAATTCCATTGGCGCAGGCAGGTTTTTAGAGCTTTCAATTTTTGCAGAATGATAAACATAGGACAACCATAGACAACTGTATTGCTCCAGCAATGAGTTACAGTTTCTCGAAAAGATGGATGTTGAACCCACATTGATTGAAAACGGAAAGGACGATGACCATTGCGCAAAACTCTAGAACCAGAGAAAATAAGGGGGTTATGATCTGAGACTACCTTTGGCAACGCTATGCAGTTAGAGTGGGGCCAAGAATCAAACCAACTTATATCACACAAGGAGCGATCTAACCTTCGTTCAGTGCGACCACGAGACCTCCAGCCATTAGACCATGTAAAGGCTGCCCCAGATGTGTTCAAGTGGGTAAAGTTACAAGTGTCAGACATGTTACCAAACTCAGCACATGAAGCTTGGGACGGTCTGCCTCCTCCCATCTGCTCGTGGGCACCCAGGATAGCGTTGAAATCGCCAATAGCCATCCATGGAACTTGTGTGTTTGTGGGCGCAGAGAGATAAAGTCAGCCCACAAGTCTCTTCTTTTGATAGATGAGGTGCTTGCATAAACAAATGTGAACTGGCTTGGGATATGATCAAAAGTACAGCGAACCGTAACCTGTTGATCAGATATAGAAATAACTAAAGGGTCTGCACAAGCCGAAGATGTTAGTAACCAAAGGTTGGGGGCAAGAGTTCCTCTAGAGTTAAAAGTAAGAGCAGATAAGTTTAAAGAATCCCAATAAGCAGCTGAAATAGAATTAAAAGTCACCATGGGCTCCGCAATGCAAACCAAATCCGGGTGATGCAACCGACAGATGTTAGAGAGCTCCGTCCGAGAGTCATCGTTACCAATGCCACGGATATTCCAGAAGAGAACCTTCATTTATAACGAGCCGGTAATCCACGGACCCTACTCGGATATGGTTTATCACAGGGTTGATCAAGATTGGCAAGCTGCTTTTGTTTTTTCTTTTGACTGTTAGATAGCACAGGAGTAAAACCATCCATATCACAGCCTTCTATGTGATTGACAATATCGATGACATCCTTAGCTAATGTCGCAACATGTTCAAAACCAGGGGGAATGCTATGGTTGTCATGAGGATCCTGCATGCCAAAATTATTTGGGACATCGGTGTTGCCCAAGTGCTGACTATTCTGAGCTACCGTCTCGACCTGATCAAAGCCAGGAGGAGTGCTAGAGTCGTCACAGAGATCATGTGGGCCAAGAAAATTAGGCACATTGGTGTTGCCCAAATGCTGACCATAAGAAAGACCATTCTGATGATGTGATCCATCAGGAGAGACAGCGATCCGGTCATAGAATTGCTAATATGAGAAATCCCAGGGGATTGAATAATACCATGCTCTTCAAATTCAGAGTTATTCACAGCTTGGGCAATGGTCCCTAAGGCCTCATCAACCACCGGTTCAAGAGCTTTGTTCAGGGACTCATCATTACCATCATCCACTGCCTCAATACCTGCAGGCAACAATTGATCAACCTGTTGAAGAGGTTCAGAGGCATGTGACCCACAAAAGACATTAACTGGTATTGTTGTATCTATTTTGGGACGATATTCCATGTGCAGTTGACTGCGAGAGTGATCTCCGGTTTTGTTGTCCCCCATGTTACCACCCTTTCGCGTCCGGCTACGAGAGCGACCTCTCGACATCTGTTTGAGTTGTCTGCAACTATTAGCCAAGTGCCCTATCAAACCACAGTGACTACATTTGGGCGGTAAATTTTCATAAACCACCTCAACCGGGAAGCCATGACTTTCTCTTTCAACCATAAGAGATGTAGGTAAATCACCTGCAAGATTGACATCAACTAATATACGTGCATAATAACCATATTGCCTTTCCCTTGTAGCTGAATCTAGTTGCAAGGGGGTGCCAACCCCTCTCGCAATTTCCATCAAGTGTCTAGGATGCCAATATTCCTGACTCAAACCAAAAATTTTAATCCATACCTGAGCATGAGTTTGAGGGAGAACATCACCTGGTTTAAAATCTGGTGTCCATTTTGATAACCTGAATAAACCAGTAGCGAGAGTACACGTACCGCCACCCCATGCCCGTCGCATATCATCTTCCTTATTGAAATGGATATCAAAATAGCCTTTACCTATAGGAACCAGGTTCCATGGTGCAGTAGGGCGCCATGCATCTTCTAAACAAGATTTTAGAGCACCGGTCTTCATTGGCGTAGAACCCTTTTTTAGGAGCAAACGCCCAAGGAGATTATTTTGAAACAACTTCAACTGTTCTTGGTATAGATCCTCGCTAATCTTGACATATGTTTTGTCCCCGCGCACAACCGGAGTTGGAAGTTGGCTGAGATGGACGTCTTCAATTGGGGTGGAAACCACAGAAGCAAAAGTCCTAGCCTTCAGAAGTGGTTGAGCGGGGGGCATATTAGTTGTCGGCATAACCGTCTCTGCAAGAAAACCCCATGGACAAAAGATATTTGTGCCCATGATAATTCAGTTTTGCAACACCATAGAGCAAGGTTGAACGCAGAATAACCTTGGGCGCCCTGAAAAAAAAAAAAAAAAAAAAAAAAAAAAAAAAAAAAAAAAAAAAAAAAAAAAAAAAAGGGGAGATTCTCTGGAGCAATTCGTCGAGCAGGTACAAGGCACCTCAAACTGAAGACGATATTCTTCTTCGTCTGTGCCTTGAATTTGCTTTTTGCCTCTGGGGAATTTCGTCGAGCAGGTCTCGTGCAAGAGAGAAGGAGCAGGACGGAGGGTTAATCTCTCTCTGTTGGTCTCCGTCGCTTTCACACTTCACATGCCCAACAATTGAAATACAAGGCTACGAACATTTGCTTGCTCCCAGTATTGAGAAGAACCGAAAAAGATCTCAGATTTCCTTGTGATTGGAAGAGAAAGGTCGGCTTCGGAGCAATGGCTTTAACTCTAATCCCGCAACAGAAGAGAGAGAAACAACCGAGAGAGAACGTTAGATGTCAACCCTCCCGATTTGTTGCTTTCTCCACCTTTCATTTCTCCAGTTTACAGTATCAACACTCTTGAGCTTTTCTCACCATGCTTCGATGCTGTTATTCCACTGGTCCCGCCTAACTTACATCACTATAATATATATATATATATATATATATATATATGTATCTGTCAAGAGACGTACTAGACTTATATATATATATATATATATATATATTATAAATAAAGAAACGTTGAGGGAGTAATTGGGTTTCAAAACCGTAGCAAATCAAAACGGCAAAACGGACAAAACTGTTTGAATATGCTTAATAACATGCTCATCTTCTCTATATAGAAAAGGAATCTCACGTTTTATATTTAAGAGGAGATAACTCCTTATCTAATTGATAAGGCCAAAATAAATTGGCTGTTTTAAATATATTTAAATATTTAAATAAAAACATATTTGTTCCAACATGTATAATGACATATGACGTACCGTATTCACTAAAAAATCTCGAGAGATGAGTCAGCCTCCACCAAAGCTTATTGTGAGCTTTTGAGATTGCCAGAGGCCCAGAGAGAGAGAGAGAGATGAGTACTGGACAAGGGAAGACTGTATGTGTAACAGGAGCGTCTGGTTACATAGCATCATGGCTGGTGAAGCTCTTACTGCAGAAGGGTTATACTGTCAAAGCCACTGTTCGTGATCCAAGTCAGTATTTTTTAACTTGCTGATATCATCTAAATCGTCAGTTTCAAACACTTCATTAAATATTGTTCGTTTTCGAATTCCGAGTTTTGTTTTCCGGAAGAAAATTTCAGGATCTAGGTTTGTCATATTATGATTCATCTTTCATCAAGTGTGGTTCTTGGAATCCAGTTAACGGCAAGGCTTTAGCTGTTTTTGTAAACATTTATCCAAAAAGACGAAATTACCTGTGGTTTTGTTTGAATTCCAGTTAGGTGCCGTTTGATAATCATTTCATTTCCGGTTCTCACTAATTCTAAAAGCTTAAAAACCGAACAAGTGTTCAGTATTAAAAAAAGTGAAAATTGAAAAATAAAAACTGAAATGGTTATTATTATTAAACGTACTCTTAGCATTTCTTAAAAAAATAATCCTAACTAGAAAGAAAACTAACCATTTTTGTCCTAACTAGTTTGAATTAAGGCATGAACTGAGTGGAAATTATGATATATTGCTGGTGCTGTTGGGCTAGCGATCGCCACAGTAAGTTATACTAGTACCATGCGACATTGCAGAAGTAGTATCTCATGCTGTTCATATTTCGCCTCACGATTAAACTAGTTGATTACTAATTTGGGAGGTTTTCTTGAAATGGTAGTACCGGTACCAAAGGACATATTAATCTATGTTTTGGCAACTTAATTGCCCATTTCAGCCTCAGCCAGAGCAGTCAATCCTTTATCATATGTCCCAATAATGTCTGCTTATTGTATGCTTAAATTTAATCAGTTCTGTTTTGTATATGCATGCAGAGGATCCAAAGAAAACAGAACACTTGCGCTCACTAGACGGGGCAAAAGAAAGACTTCATTTGTTCAAAGCAGACTTATTAGAAGAAGGAGCTTTCGATGCTGCCGTCGATGGATGCCAAGGTGTTTTTCATACAGCATCCCCTGTACTGATTTCAGTTACTGACCCTCAGGTTTGGCCATTTACTTCATGATTTGCATAGTCCAGAAAATTAGATTCATTCTGCGGGATCATTGTATGTATAGAAAGTCAACATACTTTCAAGACTTTTGATGTCAAAAGTCCGGAATGATACATTCTTCATATTTCAGGCCGAATTAATTGACCCTGCAGTGAAGGGAACACTTAATGTTCTACAATCCTGCGCAAAATTTCGCAGTGTCATGAGAGTGGTTTTAACATCTTCAATTGCTACAGTCATGATGAGTGGAACACCTCTGACTTCTGATGTGGTTTTGGATGAAACATGGTATTCGGATAAACTTTTTTGTGAGGAGCACAAGGCATGTATTAATGTTCCCGTATTAACTTTCTCCAAGTCTCACATTTTGTTAGCTGTTAATTTGTTATATTTTAATGTCAGTTGGAACAAAATCTAATCTTGTTAGGTTAGATAGGTATCAGGTTGCAATTCTATAATAAATATATAATTCTATAAGAAGAACATCTTGGAATCATGAACAGCAACCTCATATATATGGAATTCCTTGTTCATTTTTTCAGATATGGTATGTGCTCTCAAAAATATTAGCCGAGGAGGCTGGCTGGAAATTTGCTGAAGGAAATGGAATCGATATGGTGTCAATGAATCCTCGGTTGTGTATTGGTCCACTCTTAAATCCAACTCTTATGACCTCCGTTGAGCAGCTTCTGAATGTCATGAGTGGTATATTTCAGCAACTTAATTACTGTTGGGTTGATAGCCAGTAGAACATCTTCAACCGGCCCCTCTGTGTTTAAACAGTTGTCCTTGACTTGTGATGCAAGCAATTGATTGCGATGTTTCTCCTTTGTGCTCAGGTACCCCAACACCGTTTCTAAATTACCCATTTGTAGACGTTAGAGATGTTGCCTCTGCTCATATTCAAGAATTTGAAGTTCCTTCAGCTAGTGGCAGATATTGTTTAGTTGGCCACGTTGTTGACGGATTCGATACCCTAAAGATTTTACGACAACTCTACCCTACTTTGACCCTTGCTGAGGCTGTCAATCCGTCAGACTCAAAGTATCAAGTGTCCCAGGAGAAAGCAAAAGGTTTGGGAATCACTTTCCTTCCTCTGGAAACAAGTCTTAGGGACACTATTGAAAGCCTCAAGGAGAAGGGCTTCATCAAGATTTGACTGCCTCAATCTTCCAGCTACATGTTAGTCATATGTAATTTGTAAATTTTAAAATCGCACTAAATAAAAAATTACAATTTTTATATAAAGATTGAACACATATGCAACCTCTAGTGATGCTTGCAAGTATGAGCAACAGAACGTAACGTAGTCTTTAGTTTGGCGACAATTTAAACTCGTTAGTTTTATTATGAAAAGTATGTTAAACCAATGAATTGGTGTCTTGAAGAGCCTTCTCGACTTTGACTCTCGCACTCCAGTTGCTTTTCTTCTTGTTACTAGGTCTCTAAATATTTTGGTCGTGTTTAATCTTTTTCCCTTATAATAAATGCAGGTGACTAGAACTCTAGCCATGTCTCACGGGCTTTCTAAACACAAATAGAATGTATGTTAACGCAGTAAATAAATTAAAGTACTATAGTCGCGAGAAATGACTGCAAATAGCACAGGACTAACACACTCATCGGTTACGAGGGAGCTGTAGTCAAATGCATTTGCTGCAAATTATGAGCACTCCACAAGTGACAATCAAACCTCATTTGCTCGAAACTATTTGGTTAACATCGCCATCATAATATTTGGAGAAACAAAGATTCTGTAACAGGAGCATCTGGTTACATAACATCATGGCTCGTGAAGCTCTTAATTACTGCAGAAGGGATATACCGTCAAAGGCACTGTTCGTGAACCAAGTCAGTATTTTCAACTTTGCTTATATCATATAATATAAAACTGCCATCCTATTTACATTTCACTCCCGGCTCTTTTTCTAAGCATTAGGGGAAGTGCAGGACGACTATTTGGAGTGCAAATAACAGCTCCTTTGCATCCAATTATTATTGTTATTTTAGGTGCTACGCTCGGCCTAGCTGAACTGCCAATTGAAACCTCCTCAATAATTCTGTTTCTGCAAAACACAGATGATCGAAAGAAAACAGAAGACGTACTCACTAGATGGAGCAAGAGAAAGGCTTCATTTGTTGAAAGTGGATTTGTTAGGAGCTTTCGATACTGTAGATGATGGATGTGTAGGTGTTTTTCATACAGCATTGTCTGCACAATTCTCAGCCACTGACCCACAGGTTTGTCCCTTCACTTCATACTTTCAATATTTTATCATGTCACATGTGCACGCCTAGAAAACCAACACAGTTCTCTCCATATTGCAGGCAGAAATAGTTGAGCCTGCAGTGAAAGGAACACTCAATGTTCTTGAATCGTGCGCAAAATTCCCCTCTGTCAAGAGAGTGGTTTTAACATCATCTATTGCTTCAGTAAAGGGGACTGGAACCCCTCTGGCATCTGATGTGGTTTTGGATGAAACTTGGTACTCGGATCCACTTTTTTGTTAGAAGAACAAGGTATGTATATTCCCAACTTCCCATACTACTGAAAAATATTGGACATAGCGGTAAGCTTAACACAATACGAAGCAGTACATGATGATGAACTAAAAACTCATATGCACTTCCTTCTTCATTTGTTCAGCGATGGTATCCTCTCTCAAAAACTTTAGCTGAGGAGGCTGCCTGAAAATTTGCTGAAGGAAATGGGATTGACTTGGCGTCAATGAATCCAGGGATTGCGATTGGTCCACTCTTATAGCCAACTGAACTCTTAATCTCCCTGTCGAGCTTCTTCGTAATCTCATAAGTGGTCCACTTCACCCCTTTGTGTTTAAATAATATTCCTTGGGATGCAAGCAGTTGATTTTGTTTTGCATTGTGGTCAGGGATCCAACATCTTTTATAATTACTCTCCTTGTAGAATTAAGTCTTGTACCTATATATTGTAAACCCTAGAGGATGAATAAAGTAATGAAATATTCAACATATTTCTTGTGAAAGTTTGAAGGAGAAGAACTTCAAACCTTGAAACTCGCAGTCGTTCGGCTAGTCAGCAAAATCGTCGACATTCATGAGATATCTACTTGTATATTCTCTCATCCCAATCTGCTCATAAGTGAACATCATGGGGTGATTTGAATAATACTTCAGAGCTTGTGAAATAAAATGCAAGGTAGTCTTTGGTCTTGAGGAAGTGCCGGCCATTGTTATTCAGGAAACACTTGTTGGAAATTTGAGTAGTTTGAGTGGAAATTTCTTTGTCCCACATTGGCCATTCCCAAAAGATTTTATCACTTTATAAGGTTTTGTCCTTTATAGAAAGTGATTGGAGTAATAGGCCTGAAGACTAAAATTGGGCTCACCCTTGGAGTTGGGCTTTGGGGTGTACTAATTAATATATAATTAATTATAATTAAAATATAATTAATTGTCAAAAGATGGGCCTTGGACTCTAATAATTAAATTAATTATTTATTTTCGGAATTAATTAATTATTTTTAATTTCGAATTTAAATTAATTAATTATTTTTGCCAACAGACTCATCTTTTCAGATGAAGTCTGAAGTGTGAAAACGCAGAAACAAAAACACCATTTTCAGCAGATGTCTCCTAACAGATGCATCCCTTCCTCATACCTGTTGCGAACAAATATAATCACATTATATATACATCTATCTGCATGACATTTAGAATACAGAAAATAATCAACTTCATCTTCTACATTCCTAAACCTTCTTACTGAGAGAATCACACTAAATTCGCCAGAAGTTAAATTTTCCGGTGCTGGAATTTTAACTTGATCGTTGAATCTTGGTGAAGCAGACGTCCGTAGAACTACAAGCACATAGTAGGGACGAAATTTCTGTTTCAAGGACATTACTGTACGCAAGCCTCGATCTTCAAGTTGTCTGTTTTTATAATTCGTATTCTAGTTTATATTCTGTTAATTCCTATTGCATTTATTATTTATTAGCATATATAAATTATCACAGATTGTTGACAAAATCCAACAATCTTGAAATAGAAATTTATGGATCAACAATCTGTAAATGTGAATGGCGCTGTGCCAAAATAATCTGAAAAACCTGAGAAGTTCAAAGGGCTGGACTTCAAGAGATGGCAACAGAAGATGTTGTTCTTCCTGACAACAATGAATCTCGCTCATGTTGTCAAGGAAGAAGCTTCGAAGTCTAATGAGAATCCAATGAAGAAAGAGACTGTCATGGCAATCGAAGCTTGGAATCGTTCCGAGTTTTGTTGCAGAAATTATATTCTGAATAGTTTGGATGACAATCTCTACGACATTTATTCTATGTGCAAGACAGCGAAGGAGTTATGGGAATCCCTCGAGAAAAAGTATAAGATTGATGATGCCAGTTCAAAGAAATTTGTTATCGGTAAGTTTCTCAAATATACAATGGTGGATTCCAAATCTGTTTTTGTCTCAGGTCGAAGAAATCCAGAAATTGATCTATGAACTGCACTCCGAGGGATGCGAGATCAATGAGCATTTCCAAGTTGGGGCAATAATTGAAAAATTGCCAACTTCGTGGAATGACTTCAAAATTTATCTCAAGCACAAGCGTCGTGAGATGAATATGGAGGATTTGATCCTGAGGCTACGAGTGGAAGAAGACCACAGAAAGGCAGACCGTTTTGGAGGGTTTGCTTCCATTGAAGCCAATGCAAATTATGTTGAGGGAGGAAACTCCAAGGCCAAGCCGAAGAAGAATAAGGCTCCTAAAACCAAGCAGTTTGTACAATCTGCCCTTGCTCCCAAAGGCAAGAATCTGAAGAAGATTAAGGGCGCATGCTATGTGTGTGGCAAATCTGGTCACAAGGCACAAGATTGTTATCATCGCAAGGATGTAAATCATGCCAACGGAAACAACAATAACCATGCTAACATGGCAACCACCAATGGAGAATTGGCTGCTGTTGTGTCCGAGGTCAACATGGTCTCAAATGTCAGTGAATGGCTGTTGGATACTGGTGCTACTAAGCACATCTGCGCTGACAAAAATCTATTCACTGAATACCATCCTGCTGCCCATGGAGAAAAACTGTATATGGGCAATTCTGCCTCATCTGCAGTGGAGGGCAAAGGCAAAGTGGTACTCAAATTCACATCTGGAAAGAGTCTCACCTTGCTGAATGTGTTGCATGTTCCTGAAATAAGGATGAACTTGGTTTCTGGACCTATTCTGATTGCTAAGGGCTTTAAACTTGTAATGGAATCCAACAAATTTGTACTTACCAAGGGTGGGATGTTTGTTGGAAAAGGCTATGTGGCTGATGGCCTCGTGAAACTCAATGTAATTGCCATTGATGATGTTAATAAAATAAATGCTTCTACTTATATTGTTGAGTCTTCTAATATTTGGCATGCTAGATTAGGACATGTTAATTTTCGTTCCATGCATAGAATGGTTGAATTAGACTTATTACCGAAATTCGAAATTGATTTTAATCATAAGTGTGAAACATGTACTGAATCGAAATTTGCTAAGCAAACGAGAAAGTCAATTCTGGAAAGATCAAATGAATTACTTGGATTAATTCATAGTGATCTTTGTGATTTTAAATCCACACCAACTCGTGGAGGAAAGAATTATTATGTCATTTTTATTGATGATTGCAGTAAATATTGCTATGTTTATTTGATTCATAGCAAGGACGAAGCTTTGAATATGTTTAAGACATATAAAGCCGAAGTTGAAAATCAACTTGAGAGAAAAATCAAAGCACTTAGATTTGATAGAGGAGGAGAGTATGAGTCTACTGCCTTCTCAGATTTTTGTGCACAACATGGAATTATACATCAAACAACGGCTCCATACACACCACAACAAAATGGTGTTGCCAAAAGAAAAAATAGAACATTCAAGGATATGATTAATTCCATGTTAAATAGTTCAGGCTTCCACACAGTTTGTGGGGTGAAGCTTTACTTACTGCAAATACCATATTGAATAAGGTTCCTCTAAAGAAGATTGACGAGTCACCTTATGAACTATGGAAAGGACATAAACCCACTTATAAAACCCTCAAAGTGTGGGGTTGCTTAGCAAAGGTGCAAGTTCCTTTACCAAAAAGAACGAAACTAGGACCTAAAACTATTGATTGTGTATTCATTGGATGTGCAAATAATAGTGCTGCTTATAGGTTCCTTGTTGTAAAATCTTCGATTTCTGACATACATGTCAACACTTTATTAGAATCAGCGGATGCAAAATTCTTTGAGGATATATTTCCTTACAAAGATAAGGAATCTGGTTCTAATACAAAGAGGGTTCATGATCATAGTCATGATGAAGCCTCTTCTTCTGGTATCCAAGGAAATGATGTGGAACCAAGAAGAGGAAAAA